ATAACACACCAATCAATTCTGTATAGGAATTGATTAGGTAGCCTGGAGAAAAGGAAAGTATATAAAATACAATATATTTTATATATATAATTTGTTCAGGAAGGGGACTAATTCCTCACCCTAGAGTTCACTCTATTATGATTCTGAATGTGAGTTTTCTTATCCTTGGGTAAAGTCACTCAGGGATGTTTACTACTTAAAATAAGACTCCATATTAAAATATAGACTATTTCATCAACTCTGATTTCATAGATATTCTCATTAGTTTTCCAATGAGATCAGTACATATACATGGAAGTCTACTCAAAGAAAAATTTCCCAAATGTATATTCGAAATTTAGTTACCTCAGTTAACTTAAATAGCGCTTATCAACACTACATAATAAAGCGTGTAACCAAAGTATTTTTAACCAAAGCAAAACAGTTGTTGTTGTTATGTGCCGTAGAGTCGGACCCGACTGAGAGGGACCCCTCCTTGGGTTTCTGAGGCAGTATCTCTTTGGAAATAGAATGTCCAACCTTCCTTCTGAGGAGTGGCTGGTGGGTTTGAACTACCAGCCTTCTGGTTAGCAGTCAAGTGCCTTAGGTACTAGGCTTCCAGAGCTCCCAAGCAAAACAGTAGATCTAATGAATTAAACTTTTTTAATGCAAAGGTGCGATGCAATGCCTCAGCAAAGGTTCTCAACTCAATTACAAAACAAGGAATAATGGACTGGATGATTCTCAAGGTCCCTTTCAAAATGCCAGGATTCTAGTATTCGAATCTGTCCTGCACTGTCCTACAGTGACCATCTTTCTAAAATATGCACAACTAACATTTTATTTAAGGCTAATTTTTTTTTTTTTTTTAAATTAAAACATCAAGTAAAAGTATTAGAAAAGCCAACACCCAAAGCATTCTAATAACAACTTACAATACTCAATTCACAAGTATGGCACTGAATTCATCTAATTATAAATTCCTATTGTCTGTAAGCAGTTAACCTGTTAATCATTTGATAACAGTTGTAGAATTCAGACTGTTATATTTTATTTCACTTCAGTCACATGTGATCAACAAACTGTTTTCAAAGATAATAGTTCATACAGCACTGAACCACAGAATACAGCATTTTAGTTACATACCCACCTTAAACTTAAATTGCCAGTCTTAATGTTCACATGATTAAAAACCATTTTAAGAAGAAGATTTTCTATCAATTCATGACTTTATCAGAATCACTTTGAAGGGTACTATCAGTAGGAAAATGTTTCTACCTCCAAGAAAGTATTTTCTATTTCAAGGAAAATGTTTTCTACTTCAATTTCACAGAGAAAATGGAACTCTAAAACAGATCTCTGAATATTCCATCAAAGAAAACTATTGTTAATTTTCGATTGTTATTTAAACAAAATCTACAGGTAGTCAATTGGTGGGCTGTTAACAACTGCAATAAATTTAGATCAAATTTCAAATATTTTTAAATGTTGTTGTTGTTATGTGCCGTGGAGTCAGACCCAACTCATAGTGACCCCTCCTTGGGTTTCCCAGGCAGTATCACTACGGAAGTAGATTACCCAACCTTCCTTCCAAGGAGTGGCTGGTGGGTTTGAACCGTCAGCCTTCTGGTTGGCAGTCAAGTGCCTTAGGCACTATGCTACCAGAGCTCCTATATTTTTAAATACACTCACTATTAACATTAGTCAGTCTTCTCACATTAGAAGTCGCTTTCATGATCTCAAGCAAAATTAAAAGATACTTTTATTAATGTTTACTAAACAAAACCCACTGCTGTCAAGTCAATTCTGACTCAGTGACCCTGTATTAGAATAGAACCGCCCCATCGGTTTTCCAAGGCAGTACATTTAAGGAAGCAGACTGCCTCATCTTTCTCCTGTGGAATGGCTGGTGTTCAGAGCAGCTGGTATTCAAACCATCCAACTTTTAGTTTGCAGCTGAGCATTTTAACCACTGTGCCACCAGGGCTCCCTTAATGGGTACTAAAATGTACAGTAGTTTTAAAGTACTTCCACCCTTCACAAAAATTAGAATTTATAGCACTTAAATTTATAGCTAAGGCACTAGAGTCAATAAGAAAAAGCTAGTAATAAAATTCTCATCCCAAAAATCTAGTTAAAGAGCAGAATTTACTGTTAAGGCATACTTTCAAATGCACAAAATAATAGCATAAAACTTGAAGCAAAGTAAGGTATACTCATAACTCCCAACTCTCCATGTGTCCCTGACCCATTAACTACAGCTGTCAGAAATAGTAACATTTAGGACTTCATCATATGCAAACCTAGAACACAAATAGTAGAAATAAGAATGGCTAATTTTACTAGGCTACTATTATTGGTCATGACAATCAGTCTAATTCCTGTTTAATTATCACCTGCAATAAAATGGAAAAAAATCATAACAATAATACAATTCATATAGTCAGCTGCCTGTTCCAAATTCAAGTCTCCTGTATTTGGCTGCTCATTAACTTCCAGCACTAAGTTATTATAAAAACCTTTACTTGAAAGTTTTAATGTTACATGCTCCTTTTTAATTCTAATCTAAATATGTTTTTTTAGCTAGATCAAAATCTAATACTTTTGAATCTTTAGTATGAAGTACTTCAGAGTATCAGGAACAATCACCATCTATTGAGTTCTCACATCTAGAACTCACCAATAGAAAAACAGCATTATTCCCAAACACAAAATTTGACCAAATATAACTTCCAAAAAACAAGAACTTGAAGCATCCTATATCATCAACTCTGTGATCTCTGATATGTACACCATCCTTACCTTATCTTTCTCATGTGGAAGGAGTGACACTGGAGGTAAACAAGAAAGAGACTCACAACTTTCTTTCCCATCCACATTGGTTGCTTTAGTGTTGAGCCGATAAAGGGGTCCATCTTTAAGGAGTCTGCCGTGGCCAACGGCACGTTTGATAGCCAATCGTAACTGCTGGTGAAAGCCGGAGGCAGCACTGCCTCCAAATAATGCAGACACATCCTTCTGACCTTTCAAAAAACGTTCAATGCTTTTCAAAGTTGAGCCACCGGACTCTGCCAAGCCCTCAACTGCACGTTTGATCAGTTTATTCCAATCCACATTTTGTTTATTATCCAATTTTCCATGGTTTCGAGGTTTAGGAAGTGCTATTCGCCCAGGATTATCAGGATCTTTATAAGAATTGAGTCCTTTATTAGAGACTTTTAAAATTGTTCCATCTTTAACACTCAACTCTAATTGTTCTAAAACAGTTTTCCGATCCAAGCCATGGGATGAAGATACTGCATTGCATATCCTTTCCTCTGAAGGACGCTGTTTCTGCTTCTTCACTTTTTTGATGGCCTCTAAAATCCACTCTGTGTACAGCGGGTTAGCGAGTTTTACCATGGTGAAGGATTCTGTATATCCATAGAGTCGCTATCCCTTATCCTGATGCTGAGTAAGTTTCACACCATGGAAAACAAGATTCTCGGAGGCTGGGAACCAGTTAACCATAGCATACAAGTTTTCTGGCCTGAGTCTTTTCTCCTTTCATAAAATAGAATGCTTCTTGATATTATTTTAGAAACCAAAACAACCTGTAATATGAAATGTCTTCATACTTCCCAATAATTTCTTTATAGCACCATACATGGGTCTCTTCAAAAAGTTGTAAGAACTCAAGAACATCTCATTCCCAGCTTCACATTAAAAAAATGTGCCTCTTATGCCTGAAAAACAATTAAAACAAGGTCAGTTTTCTATCAAGGTCTGCTGGAAACTCGTAAAACCAAGTAAATACCAAGTGTTTACTGAACACCTTTATAAGTTGTAATATATTTCTATCAATATTCCAAAACAAACATGTACATAAACCACTGGAATAAAATAGGGGGAGGAAAAAAAAAAAGAAATTAGTAATTAGTAAACAATGCGTAAACAAGATGAGATGTTCTATGAATGACCTTAGGCTACAACTAACCCAAAGGGTGCTGGCTATTCTGTACTCAGCAATCTCTGCTCACCAGTCTATGAACACAACTCCTCCCTGATCTTTCCCCAAGAAGTAACTATTCAGCACTTCAACAAGCTACTGGATTAGCAGAGAGAATCCTGCAATGAAATTAACAGTAAATCTTTCATCTTTCAAAATTCCAGACATTCAGACTGGATAAAAAAAATAGATACAGAAACGACCACTGCGAAAGTTTTAACTACTTCATGTATTAAACAACAAATATAATTTACACAAAGTAAGCTCATATGTCACATACAATATTACCTTAAATATTCCAAATGGAAACAAAAGTAACATTGAAAATAGCCAAGTGTGAAAAAGTACATAAAGAATTTTAAAATAATCCAATTTCATTCAAACTTTTAAGAATTACTTCCTTGTAGTACTTCCTAACCCAAACTAAGATACTGATAACCATATACTGAAAAGAGTAACAACTGTCAAATTGTTCACAAACAATCTGTAGAGAAACTGGAAGTAAGAAAGACCCGGAGTCCCTGGAATCAAATGCACATATTACACATCAAAGAACAGCACAGAAAAATTTATGTATTGTTTGTGAATCTAAAGAGGAGTCAGATCCAATAAAGACATGAAAGTTTGGCAGAGTGCTGTCCTGTGTTGAACATAAATGCTTAAAACATATAAACAAGAATTGTCTTTCTAGGATCAAAGCGAATCTTCTCTAACACACAAGAATCTGCCAAATACAAATAAGAAAAAAAAAAAAAAAATCACCAAAACAATGAAATCTGAATCTAAATAAATTCTTTAGCCCAAAGAACTAAATTTAACTCTACTTAGCTAATTTTTTGTTGTTATTACTTCTGTTCTTACTCTTGGGGAATCATTTACATTACAATATAAACAATGCTAGGAAAATGGGTTTCACAGTAACTTTTCAAAAGAGTGACATTAAAATAAAAAAAAGAGAGTGACATTAAAATCCAAAGGAAAACAAACTAATAGGCCTTAGGAAAGAGACAGCACTGTTAACTTGGATAGGAAAGAAAAGGCCGAAGCAAACACTCAAACCTAAGCCAAGATTTATTTTAAAATTAGCTGACTACAAGGAAGATGGTCCCTGAGAAAGCTATGCCTCATTGTGGTGAGGGTCTCAAGAGAACAAAAATCATAGTAATACTCCAAGAAAGTTCATTATGTAGGCATTAACGCTAAACTAAATGTGAAGTTACATTCTGAATTTAAGAAGCTGGGAACGTTCTAATTGAGTAAAATCAGAGGTCAAAGAATGAATGACAGTTAGTCATTGTCTCTCCTGCTGAGATTTTCATCAGTTTCCAGGTCTTCAGAAAATAACCAGTCTACAGACTTGAAAACTTGAACCTTAACTCTCTGAAAATACATAAGCGGCTTGAGAGAAATCGCAACTTGCTTGCGACTTCTTCTTCGGTCCCCATTTCCCACCCCCAAACACATCTTCGCGCTCTCTTTTTAAACAGCGAGAAACTTTAAAAACTTGGAACAGCACAACCCTGCAGTTTGCCAATGGATTGCTTCGCCGTCCCATTACAAGAGAACAGAACTCAAGGAGTAAGTTAACAATGAAATCACGTGAAAGAGTTAAGTGCAATGTATCTCCCACTCCCAGCTCTTCCAAACACTAAACTCCACAGAGACCGGTTCAAAGGAGGTGTGAGAGGCACGCAGGCTTCTCCCAGAGCCTGACAGGTCAGGCAGCTCCTGTCCAAACCAGCCGAAGGCTGACAGGCAGCCTGCTGTCTCCCTCCTAGTGCCGGGGCTGACAGTCCGACAGACACAACACCACACGTGCTGCCTCCTCCGCACCACAACACCCGCCAGCCTGTCACCCCCACTTGCCGCCTCTGCCCTGCTCGGATCTCCGCTCACCCAGCCGGAGCCCAGAAAGGGAGCGCCAGTGAGCGCAGGGAGAAGGGGCAGGGCCGCGGGTGGCCAGCGACCGGGCGCAGGTGGGGCTGGGGCGGTGGGCGCGTCCCCGCGGGAGAGCGGGCTCCCCGGCACAGCCCAGCCCGAGGCTCCGCGGCCTGGGCCGTTCACCGCCCGCCCACC